CTGTCTTTAACATGCAGGTCAGATAAAGTACTTTGTTTTTCCATTATTTTTTTCCCCCTCTTGGACACTTCCAACTCAAGAAATGGCAACACACACATGGCTTCCAGTTTTTAAAGCAAAGAACATAGTTCCCAGGGACTGCGCTGCAGAGACAGGAAGACAAGACATTGGCAAATTCAATCTTTAAGAAAACGAGTGTCCCTTTAACCACCGTGAACACCGGGTAACGAAACTCGCTTGTCAGTCTCACAGTGTGTGAGGGAAGCTCTTATTCACCACTCCTCAGGGCTGAGCCTTGCACCCGAGGCACAGTCCAGCAGCGCTGAGGCAGAGAACCCTGTCTGTACCCAGGGGAGACACACCAAGTGCCTAAATTTCGGCACAAGACAAAAATCTTGCAGCCAAACACATCAACCCCCTCTCAGCTGAGCGCAGCAGCGCTCCCGGCCCCGGCCTCACCTGGAGTATCCTGCTGATCCTCATTGCTGGCACTTGGAGTTCGACTCCTAATCTGGCTCCGTAGCTGCTCTATTAGTTCGGGGTTCTGCTGCTGCATCTGCTGAGCGAACTGCTGGCCCCTGAGGGAGAACAAGCAACAGCCCCGTCACTCTGACGAGCGGTTCCCATGCCTGGGAGAGGCACTACTTCACCCAGCGTTTAAGCCTTCCTCAACTGGTAAATTAAGGTTCCATTTCTAGTCAGAAAAAAAATCTGGCTCCGTAGCTGCTCTATTAGTTCGGGGTTCTGCTGCTGCATCTGCTGAGCGAACTGCTGGCCCCTGAGGGAGAACAAGCAACAGCCCCGTCACTCTGACGAGCGGTTCCCATGCCTGGGAGAGGCACTACTTCACCCAGCGTTTAAGCCTTCCTCAACTGGTAAATTAAGGTTCCATTTCTAGTCAGAAAAAAATCTTTATGACCAAGGCAGCAGGAAGCACCCAGTGCTCTACTCACGCTTGTATGAGGCTCGCAAGGTCGTTCGTGGAGGGGCTGGCGCCTGTTGCTCCCATGGCATTGTGGCCACCAGAAATCATCCCAGACATGCTGCAAAAGCGACAGGCAGTGCTCAGAGCAGGAAAAAAATAAACATCCACACCAGAAAATTTGGTTTATACTAGGAAGGGAATGCCAGCCTAATGGGTACGCTCTCTCACACAGATTGGGAAGTTATCTGCAAGGAGAATCGTCCACAACAACTTTCTGTTCATTAACTGCAAAAAAGTAACTAACATTAAACTGCAGAGTTTAATAAATATTACATTCCAGCGCCACGATCTAGCCTGCCTCCCTTCTGTACTGAGATCTCTCCTCATCCCAGTTCAGACTACTCTAAATAAACGTGAGCTTGGACAACCAGCCCTGTTTAGAGGTTGCCCTTCACTCTCCTGGCCTGAGCACCCTCCCACCAGTTCCATTCCACACAAACAGCCTCAAAGAAACAACACAAGATAGGATCAAACTTACAGCTGCTGTACTTGTGGGTTGTTCATTAGGTTAGATGCCTATTTAAAGAGGGGAGAAGAAAAAAAAGAAATAAAAATGACAGCCTGTTTAGCCCAAAATGTCTCGGTAGGCATGCAGGTGTTGTGCATTCAACTACAAAGCAGAGGCAGAAACGCTTTGCAACAGATCAATAGGACAAAAATAGCCGAGAGAAGCGCAGCGCGACACGCAAGGCAAGGCTGGTAACGCAGCCCCTCCACACCCAGCGCGTCGCAAGAAGCCTGTGAGTAAAGTCACGGACTCCTCCTTTGAGATACAAGCACTCTCCACACAGCAACACCGAAACCGAGAAATGAAACGGAAACAAAAGGTGCTCAAGGGGCAGGGAAACCCCCGAGGCCACGCGCTGCCGCGGTTCCTCCCAGCCAGGCGGAGGTGTGGGCTGGTGGGGGAGCTCCCTCCAGCTTTACCATGCTCATGAAGCCGGGGTTGTTGAGCAAGCCAGCTAAATCAAATCCTCCCGGGCCTCCGGTCTGCAAGAATAAAGAAACCACACGTGGATGGAGACATCTTCTCACTCCCCGATGTACATTACAACGACTATTAATACTTTACTCCCAGCATCATCAGAATCTGGCCTTTAAGCCATGTATGAAACCATCACAACTGCCCAATTAAACACATCTGCCCTGTCGCTGCTGCACTGGAGAAGCCTTTGGAAAACTAAAACTCCTTTCAAAGCGATAAACTAACATGTTCCTGCATTGAGGACATCATAGTGCAGTCAGCAGCTTCTTAAGAAAACAATCTTGGTAAGACAAAAAGACATTTAAAATGCCCTTCTGGTCATTACAAAAAGAAAAAAAAAGCTGTATTTTAGGAGTAGTGACTTTAATTAAGAAAGGTGCTCAAGGCAAAATTGCTCTTTCAAAACACTCCTTTCTAATCAGTCTCATTTCCCAGTTCTTTCAAACAAGCCCAAGGTGACTGTGCTCAGCAGTGGAGAGAAGTTACCCTCTGGATTTTAGCAGAAATATTCACAGCAGGACTCCTTAACTCTCTCCCCTGTCTGCACCCAAGCTTTGTATTCTCGACACACTGCAGGTCACCAAGGCTCTGCCACACAGCGAAGAAGCCTCCCTCTGACCTCAGCCCCAAAACCCAAGCATTAGTTTCAGAACTTACTGGACTAGGAGTCTCCTTCATTTTCTGTTCAGCTATTTTAAGGTTTGACTTATACGTGTCATTGTCTGGATCCAGCTCTAGGGCTTTTTTGTAGTAAACTACAGCTTCTGTGTGTTTATTTAAGCTGGAGAGGGCCAAGCTATTAAAGGGGAAACAGAACAAAACGTCAGAGCACGATAAGCCCTTGCCATCCTCCCCCACCCCCAGCAGAGGTGAAACAGAGACATTTTTTTCACGGCGTTCCAGGGCAGAACACCACCGACAGCTCCACTGCCACGGGGCATCTGGAGATTAAAATTCTAGCACAAAAAACCCGCTTTTACTTACCCCATCCTGCCGTAAGCTTTGCTGTAGTTTGGGTCAATGCCTATAGCTCTTTCACAGTCTCTCACTGCTCCAGCGTAATTTCCTAGTTTACTGTACGCAGCAGCTCTGGGGGGGATGGAGAAAGATGCGCAACACACAGTTGTCAGTTTGAATACTCTGAGCAAGGTCACCCCCACTCCCTCTTCGTAGTCTCCTGTTGCACAAGTCCAGCGTAACCCTGACGTAAATCCAGGGCTTATCTAGGTGAGCAGGCTGCTACCCAAACACCCAGCTCCGCTTTCCGCTCCTGCTGCAAATAAATCTGGGCTCTTACTTCTCTTCATCAACCTTCCAGGATGAGCCTGGGCGACCACAGTTGCTGGCTCGGACCAACTCTTTCAGCTTCCCTTACGCCTTGATACCTTAGTCATAACAACTTCACGTAAGAGGAGAAACCATTTCTGAAGCCGTAACGTGCTCATTCGAGCCTTGATCTCACAACTGATACCGACATCAGGGCACCTGCCCAAAACCTCCTGCGACTGAGCCTCAGGCAGCTAAAGCAAAGCTCCCTTGCCCGAAGAAACACCTCACGCCGTCACCAACACGCGTGCAGGCACGTGATCCGTATCGCCAGCTGAACGTACATACCCACAATAAGCAGATAACTAAAAGTCTGGTTTGTTCAACAATATTCTTCCTGCCAACTTTCAAACACTTTTGCTGAAAGAATAGAAAAGTCGCTTGCATTCCCAATTTTGTACACACGACCACAGAGATAATTCTCACTAACGAGCCTTCAGCTTGTCTCTTTCCACTCCTTTGTCTTTATCATCGACACGGCCTCTCAAACCTGGGCTCTCTGTCCCACTTCGAGTTAACTGCCTGAAAGCAGGCCGTATTTCTTGGCATCCTCCTATCTCCTCAAATGCCCAGTAGAGTTTGCTGCCACACCCACACCCTATCTAGAGATGCCAGGGCACAGAGCTGGCGGGAGCCACAGGAAAGGGTGTCACTATGAGCTTAAGAAAATCCTCACAGAGAGCAAGCAACACAACAAGCAGGCTGCAGAAACATAGAAAAGAGATTTTGGCCATTCAAGAGTCTTGGATCTAAGCAGTAAGAATAAACCCACAGGTGTACAAGGGTGGAGAAGGAGATAATGAGTACCTGTTGCAGAAATACACAGCGTTGGATGGATTTAACTCGATTGCTTTTCCATAGAAACACACAGCAGCTTCAAAGTTTTCTGCCTTCATTTGTTCATTTCCTGAAATGATGGCGGAAAGGCTCGTTAACAACTGAAAAACGGAGACAAACAAGAGCAACAGGCCCGGATCTCTGCTCTGCTTAAGAAAACAGAACCAGAGAGAAGCCAACCACTTGCAACTCTTGCTGGTCAATCCAACTGCCAGCAGGGAGGTGGGGAACCTGCATCTTGGCAATTCCTGATCCTGCCAGCCCCGCCGAGCGCCCTCCGCTGCCCTCCCACCTCAGGCACGCACACGGCCTCCCCAAAGCAGCACCACGTCGTCCTGAAAAGCACGTCAGCTCAGAGAAAGCTCTCCATTGCGCTTCAGCTCTAACCATGCTCTCTCAGACAGCAGGGAGAAGTTAACGTGCAGAGCAGGGCTCGACAGGAAGACGCGCTGTTCTACACAGCGCAGGCTCCTTAGGATGCAAAAGAAAACGCTGACCCGGCTGTCTGGGCTCTGTAGCAGCTAAATTATGCCAACCTACCCACAGCTCCTGGAGCACAAGCAGAGAAATGAGCAGAAACAGAAGGGCTGATCCCATTTGCTTATTTTCCCCATTCCAAGCATTCCCCAGGCGACACGTAAATTAAGCCTCCCTCCTCATCCTCATCTCAACCTCACTACACACCAGCTCCAGACGAGGTTACCTTCGGTTTTGAGCCGTTCAGCTTCGGCTATGTCATCTTCTGAGGGGGTGACGGGCTCTGAATTAGTTCTGAAGTGTTCAGGCTCCTTAGAAGGAAAGGAAGAACGCCGCAGTAAGAACTCCCGGGGAGATGTACGACACCTCCTCCTTCCCGAACGCTGGCTCGTCAAGCCCAACACACTTCACTCCCACACACCTCCGAGGTGGCCGCATCGTCACAGAAATCAAGCCGAGCTCAGCAGCGCTTTGGCTGCTTAAACGGAAACTCCGCGCGTGTCTCGGGGCACCCGCTCACCTTTCCTGCAGCAGCTTCAAATATTTCCGGAAGAGTCTGGGACACAGCCAGGCCTTGGTCTTCCATCGAGACCCCAAATGCTGTCTCCAGGCACTGGATGGCCACTGGACAAGAAGAGCCAGGCAATGAGCTTTCCCCAATCCGTCTAAATAATTAACCCTCTCCCAGAAAAGATGAATTTATTACCATTGAATGTAACAGCAGGGGAAAAAAGCCCAACAAAAACACCTGAAGCACACAATTCCACAGACCAGACTTGATATTTGGGCCATATTCTTAAATTCTATGAAATCCTCAGAGCTGGGCAAGCCTCGGCTCTGGAGATCAGGCTCCCAAATCAAGTCAGCCACTACTCCTGCTCCCCTCAGGGGACTCCAGAGCAGGTGCTGGGGCTAGAAGTTGGCCAAACTGGGACTTTACTGGCAGCTGTGGGTGCCCAAGAGCAAGGAGACATCCACACGTTCTCCTTGCTAGAGGGTGTCTGCTCTGTGAGGTGCTGTGGCCACAGGCACCAACCAACTCCCTCCTCTGGCTCCTGGTTGGGAACTTGTTCCCAGCCCAGAGGGGAATCCCAGCAAAACACAGCTGAGCTCGGCGTAACAGAACTCTCACGCTGTGTTTTCCAGCCCAAAAGTGCCAGAAGAAACTCCCTCTTTCCCCCAACACCCTCCTCCCGCTCTCTTTCCACTCCTGCCTCTCCCAGGAATGTATCCCCCACTCTGCAGACGTGCCCAGGCTCCCTCTCAGTGGGACAAACATACAAGTCAAAGACTAAAGCGTAAGCTCCTTAAGTAGATCTTTTAAGATCAGCGTGCTCTCGTTACCAGTGAAGCCCTCTGAAAAAGCCTCTACAAGCACTCCAGGGCGTGCTGTGGGAAAGCATTTTGATAGCAGAAGGGGAAAAGCACACTGCAAGCATAAAACACCTCCTTACTATGACGACATTCTTATTTGGCATTAAATCACAAGCCTTCTGACTCCGTCTCATCTAAGATAAAACTCATAAGTCACAAAAAGCAGGGTCAGAGAGGCTTGTGATCCCAGGGAGATCCTCTCCTCAAGCTAATCTGCTTTCCAAAGGCACAACAAGAAGTCAGATAAGCAATCAGCATCCCTAATGCCCAGACACCTCCCCAAGAAGACAAATTAATTTCAAATCTTGAGCAAGCTTCAATGTTGGGAACAGCCCAGCCAAGTGAGAGGCAGAAGAGAGTGACAGTGTCCAATTGTCCCCAAGGGTAGGGCTGGCAGACCTCAGGGCAGGAACAGGGAAGCGCATACAACCACCAACCTTCCAAACTCTCCTGAGCATCCGGAGACAGCCCCCCATTCTGCAGCTGGTCATGGAGAAACTGGATGATGGAGTAGGCAAGGCGCTTCTGGTCTGCCATGCCGGGAGGCTGCGAGCAGTTTGGTTCAACTGTTTTGTAACTTTAAAAAAAATAAATAAAAAAATCCGTAGAGAGAGGTTATATGACTTGATGGATCAGAAATTAAAGAGCTTTTCTGCTGCCTTCCCCTACTAGGAATGAGGATAAGGGAGTTGTTCAGGACTGGCCAATGCCTTCAGAACCTTCATTAAACTCTCTGCTGTAACCATGAGCCCATTTACATGAATATTCTGGGCCTCAATTCATCTTCTTCAGCACGAGCCGTTGTAAGGCTCCCACCAAGAGAAACACATCCAAGGTGCTGCAGGCATTTAGGCTACCAAAACCTCCCTGACTGACCAGGGCTGGGCAAACTGGGCTCTGAGGAGCTCACCACTAGGAAACCTTCTGCTTCCAGAGCATAACGTGAAACAAAAGCAAAGGCTGAAGCAATTCACCACCGTTAGAAGCGCCAGGGTTGAGGGTTGCTCCGCACTGCTTGCCAGCCCCCCCTGCCACGACGCCGAGGGCAAAGGAGAGCGAGGCCCCGAAGTAATGTGAATCCTACAAGCACGCCCCAAGGCCAGGGCTTCCCAAAGACCCCAACACAGGTCCTGTAAGCACGACAGACATGGCTCCTTGCATTTAACCGGGCTTGTAGCACAGAAAACCGTTCAGGGGAGAAATCAAACCGATTAAGCACGGCCTCTGTGAAAGGGAGCTCAACAGAACTCAGCTGAAGGACGGACAAACCACCGGTTCTGGCCACGAAAACTGTGGTGTGTGCCTTGGAGAGGGAAAAACCTGCACCGAGCAGGTCCACCCAGCTCCAGTGACCCCAGAGAGCCCCCAGACCCACCCGGGGGCGGGAAGAGAGAAGCGAGGCAG